GGTGGCTGCGGAGGGGGGGGGGAGTCCGGAGGCAGAGCCCAAATGGTTGCAAAATGACGCGTTCAGTGACAAAAAAGGTAGCAGCGCACAGTAGACACGCTCATCTGCTATTGCAGGAGGTTGACTTGTCGTCTCCACCACAGCTGTCACCACAGCAGAGTTTAGCCCTCCTGTCCAAAGTCCTCGGTGAATTTGCGCAACTTCTTCAGATCATCCTCATTAACAGTAGGTTTGGAGCGTTCCAGGGAATGGATCATGTCCTCCTAAGGGTGAAAAAAGGCGGAAGATGAGTTTCAAAAGTGCGGCGAACACATGTAGTGTGTGACATAACCCCAACCATTGGACATCTTACTTATCCGCCTAACCCGTCTCAGAAAAAAAAGGTGCTTTTCTCGTGCTGAACAAGTTTGAAAGTAACTTTATTAATGCGGTACTTTGCGTTCTGGCAATTACCTGTGCTAATATCTATGTTAGAACACCTAACGCGCGTTTTTGGACTAGACAGGACATTTTGTACCAAACTACATGTCAATTATTTGGCGATGTTTTGTTGGTACAAGACGTAAACAAGCAGGCTATTTTCAGAAGGATGTAGGTTTATTGTCTAAAAATGCAGTTTTATAAGTTTTTGCTATTTTATACCAAAAAGCAGTAAGGCCGCCGGCAGACAATTCTTTACTTTAGGATACACATATTTTCCTGGTAATTGCCAACGACTCATGCGACGATGCCCATCATTAAGGTCATTTTAGATTTTAAGCACATGATACGAAACTTCTCGTGCAGTTTAGTTCTCAGACAGAAGAGCATTAGTGATAAGGACGGAAGATAAAGTCGAAATAAAAATGGGAAATTTTGACCAACTTTTTGAATTCCCTTAGAATAACGGATAAATATTCTGCCGAAAATGAAAGAACTGATTCTTCTATGTATAACGGAGCCGTTTTCAGTATATTTATTTACTTCTAGGCCCCTTACTTTGATTTCAAAAACATACCAGTGTGACATAATACATGCTTCGACTATACAAAAACTGATCACCTTCTACCTGTTCCGTTCCGAGTTTTTATATCCATTGATTCTCTTCTTTATATTGAAAATATTTTAACGGGCTTCCTTTACGACGTTACGGAGAAAACTGATGACATTTCGCGACACCTCATATAACTGTTAATTGGGGGTT